AGGCTCCATCTGCCGAACTCAAGCAAACCTTGTTGCAACAGTTTAGAGAGTCACCAACCCACTTGTTCACCCTACCCCACTGCTGGGAGCTACCATGCCTTGAATGAGTCTGCCAAAGGGAACGGGTATGCTTGTGCCTTAGCCAGTCAGGTTCACTGCACTCTTGTCTTTCACTTGAAGAACAGCATAATATTTAACTACTGGGCTTTTACTGGGATCTGATTTACAGAGTGATCAAGATCTATGGATGTAAAGCACAAGGGAACCACAAGCTTGTGTTATAACAGTGTCAACTTTTGGTTCCTTTGTCTTGGGAAATGCTCTTTTTTTGCTACCAAACTTTAATGACAATTTTTAAAGGGTTCTATTTGTCTTATTTTATTAAACCTGCTAGTTCTTAAGAAAAGCAGTGGCTGTCTACTCCATAAGATATGAGCACAAACAAAAGCCTACATCAAAAGCCTATTGCTGGTTGGCCAATTTCCATATAACCTAATATGGTTAAGAAAATGTTTGACTGGAGCCCAGAGCAGAGTGCCAAACTTAACAACTCTGCAGTAAGCAGAGTGCCACAGAGCCCTCTGCTTAGCCTCACTGTAATTTCAGTTTGGTGCAGTTACTACCTATTCACATGAACTAGACCATAATTGTACTTCTGCACGGTTACAAAACCCAGATACTTTTGTTCTCTCTCCCTTGCCAGTGAAGATTAACACTAGCTGCCGTACAAGGCTTTCAGAGATAGAAGATCATTGGAGTGTTTCCCTTCTTGGGCTAGATATATTAAGGAAATCCTGGGTATCCCGAGGATATAAAAGAACATGCACTGTATGAGGCAGTCTGCGTTTGTGTAAACATGCCAGAAAGCGGAGGTCTTAAAGGGCTCCAATACAAGAACACACTTTCTATATCTACTGCTAACGTACACACGAAGGGTTTTACAATATTAAATCTATATGCAGGGCAGGTATTTTCTCCACTATCTGTTTTGCTACTGCTGCCATTTATGAAACTTGGCAAGGTGCAGATTGCTTACCTGCCTCTGAGCTCACGGCAAAATAAACCTTGCCCACTCGTGTCATGTATTTGCATTTCTGTCTTTCAAATTTCGCCGGGCAGCAAGTGGTTTAGGATTTTTAAAATAGTTAAGACAAAAAAGGGTTACAAAGCAAATGAATGACATTACCAAGGCCAGTCTTTAAGTCACACTTCAGTCCTCTCACTTACTCTTTAATCTAATGCCACTGAAACGATTGCGAAGTCTGATAACAGGGATTTGGCGACAGAGGAAAAGTGGATCGTTGAGCTTATATCAGTGAAACAAGTCACTAAGCATTAAAAGAACAATGCTACCTTGATTATGCAAAAGGGTTAGCCAGCCTCTCCCAGATCATTTCCTATGAGATCATATGCAGACTTGGAAACAGAAGGGACTGGTTTCAGGATGTTTGGAAGCCTTTTATGGACTATATTAACAAGGCACAGGCTGTTCCCTAAAACTGATTGTACATCAAATTCCATTACAGCCACATGCCCTTGGTTGGAATGCCTTTTGCATATATGATAGTACCAACAACCACCAAAAAAAGCAGCAATTCTGGCGTTTAATCCCTGTGAATTGTGGGGGGTTTTTTGAGTACTGGGTATTAATTGTAATGTTCTGGGTGTGGCTAGCACACAACAGGTTACAATGGGATATCTGTTAAGTTCCCTAAACTTTAAAGCATCCTACAGAGTTTAGCCACAACTTTGTAAAACGTTAAATACCTGTCTTACATAGGTAGAAAAAAAATGCTACATTGCAAGATGTTGGAATGATACCTAATAACTATTAGAGGCCAATTTTGATTTTTCTTCTCCAGTAAGTACTAACAGAAAAACATACATCTACACAAAAAAAATCAGTACTTGAAAAACACTAATTTTTTAGTATGTTTTTTAGTAATTTTTTTTTTTTAATTTATTTTGCTATTTGAGGTCTTAGCTAATGCATTTACCACCAAAGACATTTTCCAGTCATTTTAGTTACCATACATTCATCCTTGATCTGGAAAGTTAGAAAGCAAGCCAGCAACAGCAGCCCTTTTCTAAGAATTAATGCTGTGCATTTTCTTATTTTTTAGAATTTTACATCTAGGCATTATTTTCCTGGTGATGCGTAGGAACGAGGCAGATGCCTCACATGCACCAGGACTTCCCCGTGGTTCCAGGCAGACCCATGAGTCTATAAACACACTTCAAACGCTGTAACTCTGTTTGGAAGTGTCAAGGCATTATGAAGTCTCTGGCCTTCAGCCTCTTTAGCAAGGCTTATGCATCACTTGGGTTTCACGTTAACTCTTTGGCAATGCGTAAGTTGCATGCTGAGCTTTACAAGACCTGCACTGTTAGAGGCTGAATTTCACTGTGGGAGGCAAACTAATCTGTTAATTGAATTAGCTAACATTCATCTATTTACTAGCAATGATATTATCAGATCTTGTTTTCAGTTGAAAATAACACAACATTTTCAAACAGCAGCTCTCAAAGAAAAGTAATAATCTTCCCTTCCGTTTACAGATGGGGGAAGAGAGGCACAGATAAATGCAGTTACCTGCCCAAGCCTGGCTGGTCGTTCAACAGCAGCACCTCCTGCATCCCAGTTAAGTGCTTCCCCCCACCAGGTTGCACTTTCTCCTACCATCTGCATGGTCCTAATGCTAATATGATCTGCATCACTGCTGCCATGGCTGGAGAACGAAAACATTCAGAATGAAGATTCCCCCAGTGTCAAACTGCTATCTCTTATTAGAAATAAGACACATTTTTGTTCTTGTTGGTACTGAAGAGAAATAAGAGGCACCTGCGCAGAGGAATGAAAAACTCAGAAGTTTATTACAATTATTTGCTATCTGTTTAACAATAATGCTGTTCTCTGTGCCAAAGAGGATGCAATAAAGACAACCGTTGCCTTTGCTCAGTTAGGGGAATAACCACCCCTGATACATTCTCCCAGGAATCCATCCTTAGAGCCTTGCCCATCGCTATTTATAACTGAGTAAATATTAGAGGGTTCACATCTTTTGCCCTGAAAAAACAAGACCTTTGGCCTTAACATTTTTTTGGAAAGTGCTTCAGAGGAGGCTGTTACAGTGAAACAGGCTGAAATAACGTTTCCTTCCATGAAAATTTCCTCTTAAAAATATATGGCCCAAAGGAGGAACACTAGACCTCAAATATACCACAAATATGGACAAGTCTGCCTGCAGGCATTTGGAGGCTGGGAATTTGCCCAAAACATTATCCTTACAGAATTAACCAACTCTCTGTTAGTCAGCATAGTTAACAGCCTCAAAAAAATAATTTTACTCTGACATGCCTTTGTCAGGACAGCTCACCAATTGCATATTGCATTGTTTTCCACTGCTTAAGGATTAATTAATCCCAAAGACTGAAACTGGAGCCTTTACACCTCTACATACAAATAAAAAAAAGCGTTTGGGAGCCAATACTGTCCAACAAACCATCACTTTCAGGTTTCTGTTAGTCCTGGCTTTAGCTCAGCTCACCCTGCCTCTCCTTTTCCTCATCTCCTGACACAAGCTATGATAGCCAGAGCCCAGAAAAGCAGGCAAGCTATGGCTGACCACACAAACTCGGTATGTGCTCAGGACTCTGCCCTGCTTGGGACTCTTGAATCTGCCTGATGAACACCACTTATCATAAAAGGTGGACTAGAAAAATGGTATGAGACAGGCAACACGACTCAAAGGCAAGCCTTTATGTGCTATTCGGTCACTAAGAGTTAATGCAGACACAATAGCCATCAGTTCTGCCATGTATATGACCATGACTTCTTGGGACGCTTATAAAACATTACCCTCATGGGAAAAGTCAAGATCAGATCTGCGATATCCCTCATCCAAGACACAGCCCTTGATAGTGGCCAGTCATTTCACAGAGGTGTTCAACAGAGTAACCATTCAAGGCAAGTCCCTTCCTCACCTCCTCATTGAGGTTGGCTTCTTGACCTAAGTTTTAAATCCCTTTTAATTGTTTTCCTTAGTCTTCACTACTATAACTCTGTATTGTATTACTATTTTATATAATTGTCCCATCCTTTTGGATCAGTGAATTTGCTACGCATGACATCATAACCTCCACCTGTGTAGTCAGAATGATGGAGTTCCCTCACTTGGAGCAATTTGTGCTAAACAGCAATTATAAAACAAGTGTAGCCTGGGAACATTTATTATCATCATCATTGCTTAGCAAGACTCCTATCAAGTGCTGAAGCAACAATCTTTTGAAAGGCAAATTTCCTCCCACCTGGCAAGCAGAATTGTTTTACATGTCCCTATCAAACTAAAAACAGAACACCTAGGGAATATAGAGTCATTGACTTTGCTAACATATTCAGCAACATTATTATCTTAATGACATATAATAGTCTCCATATTCATAATCTTTCACTAGGAGAAAGACTAGTATGGCTGTTGAGCTGAAATAATTACCTCAGTCTGTACCCTGTGTGTACAACTGATGTGTGTGTGCAAAGACGACCGCATGTAGGTTTAATGACAAAGGTAAATAAGAGTTAGACCTTCTCAAGGGAAGAAATGGTCCCTTCCCATTCAGGTAATGCCCAGGGACCATGGGAGCCACAATGTGGAAGAATTTCTCCAGTGTTTCGGAGAGCTAGATTACCATGCACATGCTTACTCATAATCCTTAGCACACAAAACACTAACAAAAGGAAACATCAAGGTGGAAGACTCCCAAATACCCAAGCAATTTCTGACAGTCAGTTCAATCAAGGACTACCATAAAGTATCTTCCCAATGTGTTAAATTAAGCTCAATACTAACCACCCAGAATGGCCTCTTTCCACACCAGACCTTGAGTCTGAAACTAAGCTAACACTGAAGTGCTGCTCGTCACAGCAATTGTCTCAACTGAACAGAAATACCTCCAGGAAAAAAAAAATATATATATGTAAAAGCATTAATAGCATATCTCACCAGTTATGATGCCCCTGAGCCTGGAAGATGCTGCCTCTTCAGCTCCCAAGGGATTCTTTGAGCAACCAGTTATCACAGGCACTGGAAAGACAGAAGTGTTTATGGGTGGGAATGAAGAGGGCACCAAAGACAGAAGAACTTTACAGTAAGGATGATCTAGAAAGCAGACCAGCTCTCGATCCTTGCTGCAGTTGCTAGGTACTATTGCGCCACTGACTAAGCTGACTTGCAGCTCCTTTTCTTTTTCCAGTGACTCCTCCGTGAGGAAGAAGAAAATCCCAAGCAAGAAAGGGCAGACTGCACTCTGCATCTGAAGTCCCATTAAGGGAAAAGAGTTGCTTCCACTTGCAGGGAAAACTGCTCCATTCACCTGATCCTGCTGCTATGACTGTAACCCAATCACAGTGTAATGCAATCCTGAGAACAGCCTGGGAAGCATCAGCCACAGAACTGAGAATTTTAATAGCCAAACTGCACTGATTAATATGGAGCCAAACCTGATTATGCCCCCATGATTCAATTCACAAAAAATATCTGAGGGAATTCCCTATTTGTTTTGGCTGTAGACCAGCACGGTTCCTTGATTGCTGGCTGCCTCCAGTCAAAGATGCAAAAACATTTGGCTATTTCTGCATAGCTGCTGGAGTGCATTTACACAGTTTTCGGTGACGGGTTGTCTGCCTGCCTTTACATGTACTTAGCCACTTTGACTGTTACAGTGATAGAACAGCCACCTCCGAGTAATAGCCAGGATAAATGATAACAGCTTTGGCAGCATGCAGTGAGACTGGAAAATGCCTCCGAGTGATGCCTCAGCAGAAGAACAGGAGGGGGTTCCTGGGAGAACAGACTCAGATATCCCACTTGGAGTAGCATAAGCCAACTGGGAATCTTCTCAGAGGCTCTGGTGGCTCCCATCCCCTTTCATCTACAGAGGCAGTGAAAAGAAAAAACTTCCAAATGTCTATATACTCAAAAGACAAAAGGCTGGTATCACAAGGTCCAGAGAAATTTTATTTATCTGTTAAACCAGGTGAAGAAACATCTCTCAAAAATGAGCTGGCTTCACAATCAGCCTTTAATTAGAAAAATACACAGTTTATCTTCCCTGTTCTCCACCTAATCAACACAATCAGCAGATGCGTTTAAGAGTATTCATTAGGCTAACTGGCTTTAGCAGGAGGTTTGACAAAGCTCTGGAAAAATATATCATGCTTTTGCAAATGACACTGCATTTCTGCACCATTTCTTCTAAATCCCTAAGCGGGGTGGGGTGGTTTGCTTATCTTAGGGAATTTTGAGGGGTTTGTTTTAATTTTATACTGCCTGCCAAATGAGGTCTTATGAAGACAGCATGTGATGGGATGATGGAGGAGTCAAAGTCTCCACAACACATACAGTACTGTGCTCTACCATATGGCTAAATACAACTTGTACCCTGTTGTTTTACAAAAACAAGAAACACCTTTGTTGGCCCAAGAACTACCAAGATGGAAAATCGCAGCTGGGTCCAGCTGAGGTGGCAGTTCCTACAGGAAACTCTACTCTGGACCTTTCTAAGACTGCATCACAGTAAGCGCTGAAGACATCCACTTTTCCTGAGGTTTGCCAAATCCAGGAGATCTGGTGAAAGGAATACAGATTCCCCGTGAGCATTGCAGAGGTCCAGGTTTCTGGACTATCTCAGCCTCAATAAAACTCCCATTAAAGCCAATAGCAGTTGAATGTTCTCATCCAGAGAAAAATCTAGATCTGTCCTTGCATCAATAAAATGCAAAACTGCTCCAGTCATTAATAAAATCCAATGACTAACATGCCTTTCAGGAGTCATGTAGCTACATGAGGTGATCCAATTCTTTCAAGTAGGAATTTAGCTTTTACAATGCTCACCCTACGTAACTTACTGTAGCCATGAAAAAAAAAGAAATAAACTATCATTTACATATGATGAGGAAAATAAAAATTCAAAGGTGCAATATAGTAGAGTTAAACAGCATTAAATTCTGTAACTTCCTGACTGCTGAGGTATTTCAGAGATAAAGCTCCATCAAAGGTGGACATGAGTCTTAATCAGAAGAACATCTCATTTCCATTCTAAGGCTTTCACTTAGCCTTGTTTCCTGTGATACCTTAACATCAAGTCATTCTGAAGTGCTCACATTCACAAGGTACTTAAGCATGCTCCTCACCAACCAAACAAGATTACTCACCTACTTGAAATTAGGCACACATTTGTTGAGGCAGAGCCAAAACATACATGCGCACACATATACCTGACCAAAGACAAGTTTTTCTTTCATGGGCTGGTTTTATTCTGTAGTCCAAAGCACAGTACCAAAAAAATAAAATAAAAATAAGTCCATTATGCCACATCTCTTCAAGAATTCCTCAGCGAAACAAAATTAATGAATATATTTTACACCATTTATTTCCTAATTGCAATGACATTTTCCATGCATAAAGTCTGTATGTGTGCCCTCAAAGCTATCAAAACCTGAATTCTCTCCTAAAAGGAAATAATAATGACACATCTATGAAATTAAAGACTACGAATGAGTGAACACTAATGACTAGGCAGGATTTGAGCCAGAGGAGTGTTTTATCCACTTGTTGATATACTTTTATACTGTTTTATACCATATAGCCTGCAAAATATCAAAGTCAAGGGACACCGACAACTAAAAAGATTGTTTAAAACTAATCTATTTGGTTCACACTCAAGCAATCTCTGGATGCAACACCTGAAGAAAAGCTGAGACTTAATTATCTTGCACTTCTTTCCTAAAGGAGGCCAAAGCGTGATACAAATGAATTTACCTTATTATTTCTTTAATCTTTCCTATAGACCATCTCATTATATTTACTTACATATTGATCAACTAATTACCAGGTTTGGGAAATGGAGGTATGGTTACCAAACCCAAACAGTTGTGGAAGTACAAACTTCCTCTTCCTCTTGAAGTTGTCAGTACTATCTTTCTTTTACAATTTTATAGCTAGAGATAGCTACTTCTAAAAAGAGAAGCAGACCATTTACATTTTTATAAGCACACTAAAGCATGTTTTTCCATTGCTCTTTTCCAAGGTGAAACTCTGTTCTCTGTAGGAAGGGGGAAATTACCATTTTCAGAAAATAAAGTCATTACAGTTTAGATCACAAGGCATTAGTCTAATATTTTTGAGAAATTCCTTCCCTTCAATTTAACTTGACCACTACAATAAGCAACCTGGATTCTGTGGGTTACTTTTGCATACTGGAGCAAGCTTTGTGTAAACATGGTATAGCACCATAATTCTTTGTAGGTCAAGCGAAATAACCAAGTATACATTTTCTATCTCTCCCCTCCCTCAAAGTAAAAACTAATGGTACACCACAAAAAAATTTTTAAGTTTTCTGAGCTAGTCCTTAAAACCTGGAGTGCCTGTAAGTTGTCCAGATCAACCCAGAGCACAACTTTTTAATGGTTTAGGCCATTTTGGTGACATGAATGAACATGAGATCTCATTCACTGTTACACTGCTGCTTATTTGATACCAGGTCAACCCAGGTGATGTGAGCACAGGAGCTGTAGAATCAGGTTGAGCTCTGAGGAAGATGAGCTGCAGGGCTTTGCACACATCCCATTTCACAAAGATGAGGGCCTACGGACTGGTCCCTTCCCGCATCAGTCAGTGTCAGGATGTTACATGCCGACTGGAAATTGGGTTGAGGCACCGTAGCCTCTCACAGCAGGGCAATCCTGGTGGGCCTGTTCCATGGTATTAAATGTGGGAACACTTAGATGGTAGAGCCTGCATTAGCAAACAAAAACGATGGCACCAAGGGCTACCTACTTCCATTTTCCTGGAAGGGGCTTGATCCTCTTTTCTATAACCTAAATAAGGAAACAAAAACGTCTTACTTCATTGCCCACACCCATGAAATGCCATACCCTTTGAAGTTTTGTTTGGCCAAAATGCTGAGGACAACTCCCCCCATTATGGCACAAACATTTAAATACCTGTAGAAATCAAACTTTGATTTCTGAAATCAAATTGGAGCCCTGGCTGAGGGCTATTAAAGCAGGAGGAGCAAACGACAGCCAAGCAACTCATTGAAACCATATCAGGTATGGTGCTGATTCAGAGGAAAGCATTATATGTGCTGAATTACCGTGCTTTCCAGCAATTCTGGCTGCAGAAGTTCCCAGGGATTACTTGGCCTGGTTTTATTCAGCTCCTGAGATCAAAAGACATCACAATCCAAGTGGATCTGGGCTGCAGACATTTTAAAGGAGACAAATGGCAAAAATATCTTTCAGTGCAACCAGCAACATCATCTTCTACTTGTGATCACCTGAAGAGACAACATGAAAACCACCACCCGTCAAAAAAAGAAAAAAAAAAAAACCCCCCCCCCGCCCCAGCCAGCAGCTCCTCTTTGATGTCCTAATAGCAAGCAACCCACAGCGCAGAATCACACATATAACTCAACCACATCTGAAATGCTCGATAGGGTAGTCATCCTCAGATGCAAATTTCCAACTCTTACAGCTGACAAGGCTGAAGACAGAAATGTGACAGAAAGGTGTAATAGGTTGCAGCTTATAGACTTCTCAGGTGCTTTTGAAAATGTCCTTTAAGATGTCATTTTTCACAAGATACATATATATGTGTATATATATATATGGCTGGTTAAAGGGACATAGTTAAAATGGCAAAACAATAATTCTGCCTGCCACAGCAAGGTAACTTCTTTTACACTTTTATCTTACCTATTAAAATAAGTCCTTTAATTTCTCCTCTAACAGCATTTAAAAGAGACCTAAAGCAGTTTTGCCTGTTACTTGAGCTAGAGTAGCACTTATTTTTTCACATTATTTTTCACCACTGATGTGAGAAAGCACAGTTAGCCATAACCTTGCTCGAAGTACAGCTTTTGGTCCCTTTCATAACTCAAACTTGAAACTCAATTTCTCACAATTTGTGCTAACAGTAATTAGATGACAACTCAACATGTGATAACAGGAAAAAAAAAATGCAGGTTATCTGTTGTTTCCTTGTCAGCCTACAAAAACACAGCATATGCGTGAATGCTGCAC